TTTACAGCATCGCGTAATATAATTTACTGTTTACTGCACAAGCCATATATTACTACGGACGTAGAATAAATCATGTCCCGTGATTTCTGGCCATGATATATTTAAATGAATTTTTCTGATCGAATTTTTGGAATCGAGTAAACCTCTCGTTTTAATAAACTGAATAGATTGAAATATTTAACATCACGATGCCATCGATCAATACCGACATAAAACAAAGTTAAATACATTAACAAATGCTTTGATCCCGGCTTATTATGAGAAACAATATAACTTGCATATCTTATATTACTGCTTCATTCGGTGGTAATAGACGTAAAATAGCACTAGACATGACGTTAAACTTTTATCTTCGGAGCACAAAAATCAGCAAACCAAACACGGATTTCCGAAGTTTGAAATTTGCTTCGGAGTGCGATCGGAATAAATTAGTGCAAAGGTAACGCGGCGACCTATGGAATATATATATACCCCTGGTGCAAAGGGTAAAATTCCCGGCGTGCAGTGGGCGCAGCATTACACACTCAGACCGGGCTAGTTTTCTCATGTTTATGCATAAGTTGAAACAAATGTTGGATAATGTTGGATTGTCGTAAATTGCCCTTACAAAATTTGTAAAGCATCATTTCGGCTATGGATACAACAGAAAAAACATTTCTTGTGTTTTTTTTTTTGCAGCTACCACAAATCCTGACGAAAAAGGGAATAAAAGTTGGGTTTCTTGGTTATTGTTATACAGGTGTCTATGGAGAAAATAATTCGGAAAGTTGTTCGAGTATCAGAAAGGCGTACAAGGCGGGACCAGCGATATATAGCGATCACATTGCAGAACGAGATGTACGACAACTAAAGGTATTTTTAACCACATTAGCCAAAGCGGAAATTTGCACACATCCGCCAAGGAGTATTCAAAGCATTTTCCCGAGCCAACGGCGCGGAGCGGCGTTGCGGGCGTAAGCCCGGGGCGAGGGTACCAATTCCGCCCGGCTATTTATACCCGGGGAAACGAAAGCATTAGCGAAGTCTAAAGTTCATCAATGATCGCGGGCGTGGGTCACTTTGCGTGGTTCGGTGGGTGGTCATCTCACTGATGTCGAAATATCGCTGTTTGCCAGAAGTGAAGAGGAAAAAATACATGTAAGAAAGCTTGGAAATCGTTTCAAATAACAAATTGTAAAACTTTTTTGAAATTTGTAAACGTAAACATTTAGAAGAATTGATATAGTATGAGAAATTCTAAAATATAGGGCAAGTTTGTTTCAATTGTTTATGTATGACTCTGTATTATAAATATTAATATAGAATAACCTATGGATTGATTGCAAAAGTTTCTTAGTTAAATTAACTTTTGTAGAGGTTAGTGATAAAGACGAAAGCAAATTATTTTCATTAGCGTCCTGTACGAATTAAATTTATTTCATTTCAAAGTCCGAGTAATAAGTTAAAGCTCGAGTTGAGGAGTTTATAAGTATCGGCAAAAAGCAGTTAATTTCAATTCATATTTAAAAAGGTTTTACGTAGAGCTTCGTTTTGATGGTTCTGTATTTAAAAGTGCTCAAATTTCACTATTTTTTGCAGGTTTGTACAAAAATTTTAAAAAAATATCGTGTTGCCATGAATAACATGACGTGCAACGCGAGCCTGCGTTCAGTGTTGGCGTAATTACGAATACTTCATGTTGAAATTAAACAATGTTTGGAAAATATAGGCGAGGTAATCTCTATTATTATGTAAAATTATGGTCTAAACAAATTATAGTCCCGTGATGTATAAGATCAAAAACCTCTCAGGTTTTACACGATATCCTCTTTAAGGTTTTACACGTATCCTCTTCGATTAGCCGCGCGTAAACTGCACACCTGCTGGGTACTTGTTATATACATTTAGATTCGGAAAGAATGCACAATACATTTACACAATAAGTTTGTGTTGCACAACTTCTGATTATTAATAATATCGAGTAGCTGATCAGAGGTCGGGTGGTGACAAGGTCAGGTACTTGGCGCGCACAAATATTGGCATAACACACAAACTGTCATGTCACAGGTTTAACATCGTTTCCAAGTACTCACATGATTAGTGCATCCGCAATTCAATGCTATGTGTTGGGCATGCTCTATATATCATAACACTGTGACTGTGGTGAGAATGTTCGTGGAAATTAAGATTATAGTCCGTGTGTTGTGACCTTGAAAAGTGCCTAGAAAACGATTTTTATTAAGCGTGCCTTAGATCTGAAATACTTTTACGGGAACTAACACTTTCGAACACGCTGATTTCAAATCCGAAAAGTTCCCACTCCGTAGACCCGCAGTTTTCTCACAAAATGCTATTTTATCTTCACTAATTTCACAGCAAATTTTTTCATTGTTCAACGACACGGATCGATGACGATACACGATTATGTCACTCAAAAGGACCAATTTCTATTAACCATTCTTCCTTTTAACAAAAGACCGGTTTTGCTCGAATCATTTTGAGTTATGCAATCTTATGCGTGCTGGACGTAAACAACATATCTTGGCTACAACTTTGAGAAGGTACAGATAATTCCTTCTAAAATCTTTAGTTCTGGATCTATCTCTATAAAATCACAAGGACGTTAATGTCAAGTCTTTGGGCTATGTCTCTGGGATGAGCAATAATTCCTTATATGCGATCAAAATGTTTTATACAAAGATATAAAACGGTAATCTATATGTAACGGATCAGCGTTGAAATTTCCAACACGGTTTCCGAGACGTAATTCAAGATTAACTTATCATTGCATTTGAACTATTACATCAGTTGGTGTTATACTGTGCGATAAGCGAATATTATTGGAAAGAGGGCTTCTATATACGTTGAAATCATCAAATAAACAGCTAATGCACACATTTCTCGACTTTGTGGTAAGTTTACAGAACATATTTTATACTTTGGGACTGATCTTTGTCTTTGATGTGAACATTTATTCTCATAGTTTAAGGTTATTTAAGATTGATCCTGTCCTAAGTCTTCTAGCAGCAACCATTCGACAATATTTCATTTTAGCGCTGTCTTTGCCGTTACGTTGGCTTCGCGTTACTTTTGTTTTTAATAACTTAATCGCGTTAAAAGAGTTATATTTCAGGCCAGTGACATAGCTAAAAGACTTCGCATTAGTGTCCTTGTGATTTTATAGAGATATCTCTAGAACTGAGGATTTTAGAAAGCGTTATCTGTACCTTCTCAAAGTTGTAGACAAGATATGTTGTTTACGTCCAACACGCATAAGATTGCATAAATCAAAATGATTCGAGCAAAACCGATCTTTTGTTAAAAGGAATAATGGTTAATAGAAATTGGTCTTTCGAGTGACATAATCGTGTATCGTCATCGATCCGTATCGTTGAACAATGAAAAAATTTGTTGTGAAATTAGTGAAGGTAAAATAGCATTTTGTGAAAAAACTGCGGGTCTACGGAGTGGGAACTTTTCGGATTTGAACTCAGCGTGTTCGAAAGTGTTAGTTCCCGTAAAAATATTTCAGATCTAAGACATGCTTCATGAAAGTGAACGATATCGGGTCACAACACGCGGACTATATACTGTATGAAATACAATGTCAATGTCGAGGTTAAGCCTGGTTCACATATATATGCCTGCGGTATGCCTGCGACTGTTCATTGTGCCTCTACTTGCCCCCGAAATATCGGCAAAGTTGAACTCAAGTCAACTTTCCCGGCCTACCGCCGATGTAACTAAGGCACTGGAGGCAATCAGCGAACAAATGTTCACATAATTTACGTTTTAAAGCTACCACCGTATCGTCGCCGGTACGTCGCAGGCACGTCGCAGGCATATATGTGAACCAGGCTTTAATGTAGTAACAGAGCCACAGAGGCAACAATGTAGTTCTATGATAGCGCTGCAAAGCTTGTACATTTCAACACGCAACACAAATATTTTAGCGATAGTGATTTAGCAACATATTTGATGTATAGTTGCTTGTGAAACAAACAAAGAAATTTCAATATATATTGTTAAATTGTATTTACCTTTTGGTACATACTCCCCGTGCGTTCGAAAATATACAATGTTGGCAATAGCCAATAATCAATTTGAATGCAGAATTCGGTTAAACTATAGTAAAATTTCAACTCAAACATCTGATAATGTTTATTATTCCTTTCTGTATCTAATATTGTAATAAATTGGGCGATTGATTTCAAATTAAGGAAATTGATCAAGGCTCATGCGATATTCCAGATCAGTTATACTTATTTATTTATTTATTTATTTATTTATTTATTTATTTAATGAATTTATTGAGCAATCTACATACGTACTATATCAGCTAGGTACAAAGATAAATACTTGACAAACGAAAGACAAAACACACGTCAAAAATTAGTAGATACACTCAAACGGAAAAGCACAAACGGGACACTAAAAGTCCCATGCAAGGTGTTCCCCGTAATTAGTTTACATATAGTTAATTAAATATACACAAACATATATATTACTTGTGGTATTAAATTAAGTCATATGGCAAGGACAGTCACGAGTTAATGACCACGTACAAGCCATGTCTACGTCATAAACATTACTAAAAATATATACAAAGGAATTTTCCCTAGCTATAGACATGAAAAAAACATGGTCATTGATAAACACCCTATTGGGCAAAGGTGGGAAATTATCTAACATTGCAGAAATTAATATTAATGGTAATATATAATGATCGCAAACAAATAGCTGAACACTTAAACGACTATTTTGTTAATATTGGCGCAACACTCGCTGCTGAATGTGAACGTCTTTCGGATTATGAAGACATGCATTGTAATTCAACTGGTCATGTAAATTCAAAATTCTATTTCCATACAATTAAAAAACCTGAAAAACCTAAAAGTATCCGAGGCTACCGGGGCTGATGGAATACCAGCCAAAATGCTGAAATTATCTTGCGATATTATTGCCCCATCCTTGACCTATATATTTAATCTCTCAATTTCTACTGGGATATATGTTGATGACAGTGGCGTGCTGGGTACTATTTTTCTGGGGAGGCCAGTCGGCTGGCAACTAATATGCGCCCCTATAATATTACCCTTGATAAACGAGGGCCGAAGGCACGAGCCGAGCGCCGCAGGTGCGAGGTTTGTCTAGGGGGGTCCGGGGGCATGCCCCCCAGGAAAATTTTTGAATTTAAAGTCTCTGAAATGCCATTTCCTGGACTTTGGGGGAAGATTTGACAGAAATCTGATGGTCAGGAAACGGCATTACAACGTGTCGAAATTTGAATATTGGTTAGAATTTAGTAGTAGCACTTAAATTGGGCAATGCTAACTACTTCCAGCAATTAATCTAATCCCAATTCTATTCTCTACTGATCTGAATACATTTACAATTTACAGCTCTTTTATACAATAACACACGAACCCCACGCATATACATTTTAAGGTTTCCTTGCCTGGCTGCCAAAAGGGCGTGTTTCATCTTTATCTCATTACTTACATTACTCATAATGTTTCTTGAGCAAACAACTAAATTGCGTACACAACTTTACATTATCATAACTTCAACTATCTAATTTGCACCGCCCTCGTGATTCGTGAAGCATAATAAAGGGCATAATATAAGGGTATAATACCAGCAAAAAAGGGCATAATTCCCGTGATCGCTTCGAAGCCTGGTCAATATTCCGGTAATGAGACATTGCGTGTGATCACTGATCATGTTTCTATATGAACGAGTGATTTCGTGTGAGTCGTGAGGTAGCAAATACGGTTAGACAAAATAGTCTGCAATAAATATACTCACTTTGTCACCGAGAAATATACTCACTTTGTCACCTATGCGCTTAGTCTGTTTATAAGTCTATAAACACATCTTTCATTGGCGGAATTAGCAACTATATTTTTTCGAATGCGTTTCTTCCCACCTACTTTCGAAATTCGGCGCGGGATCGGCGCCCCCTTTTCATTTTTGCGCCCCCCAAAAATTGCCAGCTGGGGGGGGCCGTGGCCCCCCGGCCCCCCCCCCTACCAGCACGCCACTGGTTGATGATTGGAAAAGAGCTAGGGTAATACCTGTTTATAAAACAGAAGATAGAACGAAATGTGAAAACTATCGCCCGATATATATATATATATATATATCTATTGTTCCCATTATCAGCAAATTATTTGAGAAAGAAGTATTTGGACAGCCCTATCAATATCTGATAGACAATTCTCTACTTTCACGTTTTCAATCGGGCTTCCGGCCCAAACATTCGACACTGTCCTTATTAATAGAAATGAGTGACAATTGGTTTGAAAATATGGATAATGGAGAAATAACCGGATTAATTTCAGTTGATATTAGGAAAGCCTTTGACTCTATTGATCATAAAATCCTATCAAGGAAGATGCAAGACCAGTTTGGTGTTAAGATTTTGAGCTAAAATGGTTTCAATCCTATTTGACGAAACGAAGCCAAGTTTGTGTTGTCGATGGCCACACATCGTTGGCTAAGGAAATTGTATGCGGAGTTGCACAGGGATCTATCTTGGGACCCTCATGTTTTTACTATATATATATGATTTGCAAGAATGTCTGAAAAACACAACTCCTGGCATGTATGCTGACGATACTCAAATATATGCATCTTCCGCAAGTTTCTCCAAACTAGTAACCAAACTTAATCAGGATTTAGAAAATATAGTCAAATGGCTCTCTCGAAATAAATTGCAAATTCACACAAAAAAGACAAAAGCAATGTTTATAGGATCACCCTATAACTTAAAAAACAAAGTTGGTGAACAGGTTATGATAAATGATAAACCGGTTACTCGATATTCCTCTTTTCCATGTCTGGGAGTAGAACTAAATGAAAGAATGAGCTGGGAAAACCATATAGACACAATATGTAGGAAAGTTGGCTCCGGTATTGGAATCATCAAAAGAGTAAAGCCGTTTGTACCGTCCGAAACACTACAAAATTTATATAATTCTCTCGTTCTCCCATATTTTGACTATTGTTCATCTTTATGGGATAATTGTGGAAGCATGCTCAAAGAGAAATTACAAAAACTATAAAATAGGGCGGCAAGAATTATGACAGGTGCCAATTATGATGTCAGGTCGACAGATTTGCTCCATGCTATCAGGGGCGGCGGAACAGGGGGGCTAGGGGGGGCTAAAGCCCCCCCCCAGAAGTAAAAGTGGGGGGCTAAGCCCCCCCAGAAAATTTTGTTTTCTCTGGAAAAATTTTGATAATTAAGGAAAAATGTAGGTTATTTTTGGAAAGTTTAGGTATAAGGGTAAAAATTTGGAATATTCTGTTTAAAAATCGTGTATGTCCGGAAAATTTTTTTTCATCCCTTTTCTTGTATATGTCCGGAAAAATTTTTCTACCCCTAAAATGGTACACTGACCGAAATTTTTTGGCGACGTGGGGGGGGGGTCACGGAAAAAAAATTTAGCCCCCCCAAAATGAAATCTGTTCCGCCGCCCCTGCATGCTATGTCATGGGAAATCTGAACGACAGACATAGAATGAATAAATCGGTCTTGATGTTTAAAATATTAAACAACCACTCAGCTCCGAACTTAAAGGATAAATTTATAACAAGGGACAAAAATCTTAGTGCTAATTATAATCGCAGAAATGCTGATATAAATCTTTCAGTTCCTAAACCGCGTACTGAATATTTAAAAAAGAGTTTTGGATATAGCGGGGCTGTTCTATGGAATAGTTTACCTACGCATGCAAAGCAAACAGAATCTTTAAGTAGCTTCAAAAATTTGATAAAATAATGTGTGCTACAGAGTCAGGCATCGAATAGTCTTGGTTTTTTAACTTTTTTATCTACGTATTTGTTATTCTGTGTTATTCTATTTCATATTTAATTTATATTAGTTTTTAGAATGTAATTTGTGTGACGCCCCTCATGAAAATCATCCATGGGTGATGAGGGAAGCGTGGTTAAATAAAGTTTTTACTATACTATCTAGTTCTAGAATTAAATGTAAACAACTCTTCAGACTTCACGTTGGAATAATACAAGGGGATAGCATACCAAAGTAATCGGCATGTACTAAAACCCGAAACAACCGGAACGAAACGACCGGAACAAGAATCGGAAATGACCGGAGCCACCGAAACCAAAATCGAACATGCACGATCGGAACAAAGTAGTAGAACACGACGGGAACGATATAGTTATTTAGGTCTAATACAGACAGTACATCTAAGTTAAACATCTAACATTGACTAATACTTCACGGATTTTAGTGAGCATGAGAAAAACACACTGTACACATATATCGCTTTTCTGATCTCTTCTCTAATTTTCTTAATATGAGAGCCAATAATACTCTCTTTGCACCAATGTTCTGGTTTTCTGTGCAGCCATATGTCCAGATTGATCGTGCTTCATGTGTAAAACTGTGGGAATCAGGGTTTCCGGAACCACTAATTGTCTCACTGTCTTCCAGCCCTGCGTAAAGTTAATATGCAACAAACCAGCTCCATCTAGAAATAGATGATTTCTCTTTGACAACCAAGTTCTGACTGTTCGGTTGGACGGCTGTTCTCGATTTTCACTCAAGCGTAATCGTGCAATTACTTGGCTAAGAACTGGGTCGCTTGCTTGTGCCCGTTTCACTTCCTCTGTCGAACGTACAAACTACATCCTCATGCGATGATAGAATCGAACATGCCAGTCCTCCCTTGCATCGTCGTGACAACGCATCCGCATGCGGGTTATTTGCATCTGGCCGATAACGAATCTCGAATTCAACTAACTCTTCAACTTCTTCTACCCACCGAGCGTACCTACCCCTAGGATCCCTCGTGTTTCGTAACCATTACAATCCTCGCGGTGGTCCATGTGCCATATAAACTTCTTCCCTATAGGAGGTATAATGCCTAAATTTACGCAGAGCATAAATAAAAGCAAATGCCTCCTTGTCCCTAGTGTGCCATGCAAGTTCATTACCACTAAATGTACCAGTTTAGTAAAGGCTTCCACGCGTTCATCAGTCCACTGAAATTACGGAGTGAACAATAACACAGCATAATATATATATATATATATATATATATATATATATATATATATATATATATATATATATATATATATATATATATATATATATATATATATATATATGAAGGGGTTGTAGGTAACATGCCCGGTGAATATTTGAAAAGGTTAAAAAGAATTTGTTCAGGCATAAAATTCTATGCATCACGCCGTGGGATAGTCATGGGTCAGTATATAGCATCTAAGCGGGTCATTCTTATGGGTGAAACCAGAAGGGCCATTGGTTGCTCTACGAACCCCACTCATTGTAAAGAATCTCTTAATAAGGTCTTTACATTGTTCGTGAACAATGGATATCCTAGAAGGTTTGTTAGGGATATAATAAGACACACAACACGCAATAAACCACGTAAGGATGACAAACGAGAAAATATATATGTGAAACTTCCCTACATTAACGAAGAACTTAAACGACGTGCCCTTTCAGTAATACGTAGATCAGGAATCAACAATGTCAAAATTCATTTCATGAACGGCAGACCTTCATCACGAGTATTTGCCCCACCCAGAGATGGAGCAAGCTGTCGGGAAGATTGCGAAACATGTAAATCAGCAAGTAAACCTAAACAGTGTCTGATAAAGAACGTCATTTATGAAATCATATGTTCAAGTTGCGGAATAGTATATGTTCGAGAAACCGGTAGAACAATTGGATCGCGAATTAAGGGACACTTAAAAATGGACAAACAAACTGTGTACAAACATATAGAATCTCATAAGAGTAGACGACCAGATCAATCCGACATAAGTTGGAAAATATTACATAGAAATATAGCCTACCAAGAAGAACGCAAATGTATCGAAGCCTTTGAAATACATAACCGTAGCAAAAATATTATGAACGGTTGCATAGGTAGAACAATTAGTATTTAATTAATCAAACACTGCTTTACCGGACTCGTAGCTAATTGACATTTCAATAGATTTTATAATTTTTTATTTTATTCATGAATGTTTAATAGACTAGCTTGTATATAATAGACGTATATATTGTAATAAGTAATATTCCACTGATGAAGCCTTGACCGGCGAAACGTCTGGAAAATAAAACATTTTTAACATCTTTTTATTCCAATTTTATGCCTGAAGAAATTCTTTTTAACCTTTTCATATATACATATGTACAGAAATTTTAACGGAATCGATAGTCATTCGATATTTCATCCCCTGAAACTCAGCACGCGCAGCATTCGTGACCTGGCGAAGCAGGTCACTATGTTCATTTCCAAATGTTCATTTCCTACTAGCCATTTCCTACACGCGCTCGTGTCTTTAAACCTAATAAAACACTCCTGCTCGTTTATTAAACAGTACTTATTAGTTAGGTAAAAAATAGTGTATAGGTAAGGTTGCAGATTATATATGGGCGAATCAGATAACAATGTATCTGCCCACATTTCGTTTCATTGTTGGTGATAAATTGCGGGAACCCTTGAGTATTTTAATTAAATACAATACATGCATGTCAATGAATTGCGAAAACGGCAAAGATTTTGAAAAGAGTTTATTCGTCGTTTCGACTAGATTTTAGTCATCATCAGGAATGAAGAAATTACTATAGGCCTATAAACATAAGTGTTATATAGAGTTTTTGGCCACTGAGAAAAATCGTATTTAAACACACGCAAAAAATACGATATTTTTACGTGTGAAAATATCATTTGTTGTAAAACGCATTTCCACGTTTTATTGTTTTTCACTTAATTTAAACTCGTGTTTCAATTTGAAACTCGTGTTGAACATGATATCTCACTCGTTCGCTGCGCTCACTTGTGAGATATCATGTTCAACACTCGAAATAAATCTGGTATTTCCGCGCACCCATGTATTATTCTCTATATACATATCATAGGTTTATAGCTATACATGTGAAGAAATATGAGAAATACTATATAGGCTATATATTTTTATATAAAGTCATTATTTAAATATTAAAATAGGTTTTAGAAGCTTTAGTTCCGTGATGAAGGTTAAGTTTCAATCAGCGTATCTAGTAGCCTAGCTTATCGTGAGCGATTCTTCGGAAAAGTAATAAAGACCATGGTGATCGGCTATATATATATCCCGATTTTTTACAGTTATATAAAAAAGAAAATGAGATAACTGATATACATGTTTATATTAGAGTCTTAGTGTGGTGTTAGTTCCGTTGTAGTTTTTATAGATTCCTATGTAAAGTGAGGTAAAATGTTGTAATATTCAATCGCAAAAAGCAGAGCGACTATATACAAAGTAAATAAGAACATTTTTTCTTAATGTTTTACTATACGACCGCTTGAATCAATTTCAACAAATATTCAAAGATTTATATATAGCATGCTATATTGAAAATACTCTGCTCGCCTGATAATAAACATATATAGGGCCTTTCGCAGCCATTGTTGCGTGGGTGCTCGTTGTAACATGAAACCTGAGAAATGAAAATGTCCGTGATTTCTGGCCATGTGAGTAGGTTGGTAACCTATTTGGCAACAAGTTGATAAGACGTGTTTCTTTTTAATACAATAAGACACAAATATATGTAAACTAGGCGACTTGTTCTTGAAAAATTGAGTGTTCTTTAATTATCGTTTCTGTGTGATTTTAAATAGCTTTGTATTAATCTAGTCTTAGACAGACTTGTTTTGTTGTCCCAATGTTTGGAAGGAAGCAACATATTTCCTTCAAAAAAATGTTGCGACAACAGACGAAACAGAAGTCGCTGTTCAAAGCTACTTTGTTCTTATTTCACTCTGTTTTTAACGCCAGACGATTCATTAACAGCTGAACTTAATTCCGAAATTCTGAATGACCAAAATCGATATCTTGAAAAAAGCATATTCATTGACATTGGGGCACTTTATGTGAACACGCCAGACATGTTGCAGTAGACGCCAAAATATGATTTTAATATGGATGATCCTGGCTCCTTCGTATAAAATCCTAAGTGCTACTCTGCCGTATAGTCTAATTAACCCTCCCATTCTCGTCACATTCTGCATCTATATAGGCTTGGGAGCTTCGGTGGCGCAGTCTTTAGAGCAAACGTCTTTTAGTTTTAGTCGCCTTTGAAATCAATTCTCGCTACGGACGTGACTAGAAAGAGTCACTATAGTTCAATGCTCTGCCGAAAGTCGTGGGCTTTTTCCGGGAGCTCCGGTTTCCTCCCACGGGGAAATTGACAGGGTGGTTTAGGATAAACATAGTTGGGAGAGTAATGTCGCAATTGTTGTAGAGAGAATAACTTTGGTAAAATTGTACAGTAAATGCTAATGCCAAACCTTATTAATAAAATTAGCAAGACATTTTTATATTTTATATAAGGGGGCTCAATAATATGACATATTAACTAGGGACTTCATAATATGACATGTTACTAGAAAATACATGCATGCAGCATCCTCTCGCCTTTCCTAATAGATGAAGTACAGAAACTCTACATAAAGTATTAAAACCATTATAAGCAAACATAAAAACACAACTAACGCGCTAGCTTAATGAACGCGATAACATTCGCTGCAATTTCAGTCATACCATTAAAACACAATATTTTTATATATTGTATTTAGCTTGCATTAAAACACAATATTTATAGTGAATTATCGAGTTAAGAATGGCTTCAAAATTTCGCAAGAATGAATAAATTCAACAACATAAAGCAAGTACGACATGGAATTTTACTGCTGAAATGTTTACACCAGTGAACTCTATATATATATATATATATCTGGAACGATAACATTCAGTCATTTGATTGTGAAAACAATGAAGCCTCGATACCAGTCTTTCACGCGGATTGGACGTCAGTCTCAGTCCCTCAAACGTCAGGTTTATGCGGATTGGACGTCAGTTTCATTCCCCCTCTTGCAAACCGTTGCACGGCCAGTATAAATTTGAACGCAATCACGAAAAAAAATTAAAAACATGGACAACTCAATGCAATACATTTTAGGAGCAAACTGTTTTGCTCCTAAAATTTACTGCATTGAGTTCCCTGTCGGAAAAAAAGTCGAGGAAAACTTCCCCGTGTGGAGAAAAGAATCACTTTTTCAAATATATTGTGTCGTACTGTCGTTTTCATTTTACAGGTAGGTAAATTGACTTGCAACTGTGACTTTGCCGTTGCCATTTTTCGCGATTGTTTGAATTGTTTTTTAGTTTACCAGTTTTATAGTTTTTAGTCAATACACTGGTACGTTATTTTTTAAAGTATTTATTGTGTGATCGGAATTTGCCTGCCAGCAAAGTGTAAATGAATATGTACGTGTGTTTGAATATAAATTATACCATATGGGCTTAGTAAAAAATTATTTTAATAACTACGTTTCGGAGTATAACTCCATCTTCAGGTTAAAAGTGAATAAAGATATAAAAACTGTGATAAAAACTTTCAAAACAATTACAAATTTTATATGTAAGTGATTTTTAATACTGTAAGAAAGTTCTTGAACAGTTGATGACGAAGACAATGACGAATACTTATGTCGTGATATTTTTGTCGGCTTCACTTTTCGCTCGCTGTTATCATTCCAGATATATATATATATATATATATATATATATATATATATATATATATATATATATATATATATATATATATATATATATATATATATAGAGTTCACTGGTTTACACTTATGTCTTATCCAAATCGGCACAACAAGCTAGAATTAAACAATACGCCTGCTCAGGCGTTCACACTGGCCTTCGCGGTTGGTAAAACAGTAAAATACCATCGCAATATTCTAAAAAATAGGTACGTAGTGCGTACATGTTGCATGCCATCAAAACCATGAAACTTCACGACTCAGAATACTATACAGAAATCACGGCCATCTCCATTGTTTTCTGTGTACGTGTTATTTGTCATGATTTGTCAGTCGGCAAGTACAGTAAACAGAAGCAGTTACCCCCTGGCACTGAACAAAGATGCACAGAAGGTCGATTAGAGCATAGTCTTTCAAAACATGGTCTGGAAACTCAGTAAACTTCAAAGCGGTTATAATGAGCTGGGATTTTACGTTGAGCCGTACCTTACACCATGCACATCCTTTGTTTTAGGTTTATTAATATTTAACTAACATGGTTGAATGACTGAACTGAAACGTCGCTGTTGGATGATTCGTTCATTATACTGAAATACAATGTGTTCATAATTGACTGTGCACCGTTCATAAAACTGCATAAACGCAAAACAAAAAGATAGAACAAAGACTTTAGCGGTGTTTCCAAACCATGTTTTGAAAGACTGTAATTAGAGTAAACGCTGCCACGTCCCAACCAGTGCGCACCAAAGAGGCAACCCCCCCCCTGGACGTCTATCATTTTGAATATTATCAGGGGGGTAAATGCCTCCCAAAAGCGCACCAGCCAGGACCATGACGTCAGCATTTTGATGATGAATTACGGTCACGCCAAAATCATTGGAAAACCATAAATTGGGCTTCTGTATGACCGACCCTGTGCCCTGGTAATGATGCGCGACCGCTTATAACTTTTGGTACAACTGATCTGAAACTTAAAATAGTGATCCAATAAGTTTAATATTGTTTGAAAAAATAGCTATTATGTCAAAATAAGAAAACTTAAGATTCTCACGCGAATAAGCAATGTTTTTATGAGCGACTGTTCATCGTTAGTTGCCAACGACGGTAATATAAACAAGGTCAAGGCAGATCAAGTTTGTATCGAAAGGGTCAAAGCGATTGACTGTTAGATTTTCTTTTATACTATTTTATAACTAAAAAATGTTATTTCCTACAAATTTAGCTTTATTGTAGCTTTATTAAAGGTATAAAAAAACCTGGAAACGGTGAATTACTATAGATTGAAAATAATTATTAAACTATGATTGAAATTATCGACGTAGAATGCTATATTTCGTTGTATTAAATTTCAATAGTATATAAATAGTAATACATTTGACATCCGTAAGTACAAATTCTTATGCTGAATCGAACGGTGGTATTTTTATCCTTATTGCGCCATTAGACAGCACAAATACAAAGACAAACGTAGTGCGAGTGATTTGTTATAAATAACAATACATACTGCGAGCGATTTATCAATACAATTTCGCTTGATTTTCAAAGGCCATAAATCGCTAGAATACTGGTGTTCAGTAATACACTTGACATCCGTAAGTACAATTTCTTTATACGCTGAATCGTACGGTGTCGCTTTCTTCTCAAAATATAGGAATTGGTTTATAAATCCACCCGTTCCGCACGAGTCAACAATATAGTATTGTAATTATCAACCGTTATTAGCAATCAGTTATTGGGCAAACCCCAGCAACTTTACTTTAGGGTTAGGGGTTAGGGGGTGGGCGTTAGAGGTTAGGGTTACAACCCAATAACCATAATAACTATAGTTTGATAATTACAATACTATATTGTTGATAACGCAAGGAGCGGCTGATAAATCATAGTGAGCATGTGTAATGTGATAGCTAAATTCACTGAGCTATATAATATTACAGTAATATTATTATAGCTCAGGGGCTGAATTGCGCAATCCTGAGCCCACGATGCCGCAATGGAAAGTCACACTTGCGACAACAAAAAAAAACTGAAAAAATTCCTCGCATTCCAGCGACGGCAAATTATGTCACTGGCTGCGGCCAGTGTAATAATTAACAACATCAACATCAAAACAATTATTAGACTTTGTTTCGCGGTTGAACAGCTGCACTATTTCATGAAACTGCAGGCTTATTTCCACTGTTAAAAATCGAAACGGAATGGTTAGTTTTCAAAGCACAGGATATAATCAGCCAGAAGTCTACGAGTTTGCAATCAAGTCCGTCAGTGGCGGAACTCATGGTGGGCTGCCCCCCACCTTCACGGAAAATTGACGAATTTTCGGAAATTTTGACCTTTTTATATGAAAACTTGTTGTAGTATACTGAGACTTGTTTTAGTATAAGAATATAAGCAAAACAAACAACATTGTCGAGTTACAACATAATTCCTTTATTCCCGCACAGCATTAAGGGATATGCATAAATTATGCTAATATGAACCTTAATTTAATATATTACACTGCTTTTCCTTTTTTTTTTTTAGTTATTTATATATATTACTCAAACAACAACATAAACAGAAATACTTACCATCCAAACCTATTTACTGGCATTCTGATTCTCCCAGATCTCCGAAGATCTTTCTGCTGGGTAACAACATCTGAAGACACCACAGGTGTCACGTTCTTCTCAACTACCTCTATCAGTGATTCACTTACCTCGGTGGCTATTTCGCCATTGTCATCTGCGACAGTCTGTTCCCCTGATTCGTCATCATCATCTTTTAAATCATTGCTACCATTCTCTCTACCATCATGTGCCTTGATCATATGATCTGGATGCACACGTCTCATTCTCTTTTCACATTTTACTACATATGTACGCGGCCCACAACTCTTAACTACTGTACCTAAAATCCATTTGTTAGTTTTGTTCGTTGCTCTAGTGTTTAACACGCGCACTCTTTCCTCTTTCTCAAATGTTCTCTCACTCTTTCCTTTCCCATCTTTATACACTTTCTGCTGTTCTTGCTTTCCCTCTACGACCTGTGCTAGATCAGGTTTAACCAAACTTAACCTTGTTCTCAAACGGCGCTTCATCATCAACTCTCCTGGCGACACACCTGTGGTGCTGTGAGGAGTGGTTCGATACCTCAGGAGAAAATTTGCCAGTCTATGTTTCATAGACACGCCTTGGGTGCCTTGAATAACTTGTTTGGCTAAAGCTTCTTTAACCACTCTCACGGACCTTTCCGCTGCCCCATTTGATTGCGGATGATATGGGGGGACTAATGTGTGCTTGATTCCATTTTTAGTCATGAACTCGACAAACTCAGTTGCAGTAAATTGAGGTCCATTGTCGGATACTACCTCCTCTGGCAAACCATAAACAGCAAAGATCAATCGAAGCTCATCAAGAGTACGTTGGGTAGTAGTAGAGGTCATATGTTTTACTTCAATCCACTTTGAGTGGCTGTCAATTACCACAAGAAAATAATCCTTACCTTCTTGACAGAAATCAATATGAACACGTTGAAATGGTCTGGTCGGCCATTTCCATGGTATCAGTAGTGGTGCATGAGGAGGAGTGTTTCTTACCGACTGACACACTGTGCAAGCTTTCACAGCCCTCTCAATATCCTCATCCATCTTGGGCCACCAAACACAGGTGCGAGCAATTGCTTTCATTCCGCATACACCTGGATGTTCCCAATGTAATTCATTGAGCATGCATTTTCTCTCTACAAACTGGTGGAATAACCACTCTGGAGCCCCACAGAACGCAATCTTGTTCGCAGGATAATTCCAGCTTTCGGTTATGATATGGTCTCAAATTTTCATCCTGACAATTCTCAGGCCAACCTGACATGACATAATAATATACTTTACAGAGAACAGAATCAACTTTAGTTGCCTTCCCAATATCTTTTGCAGTAATTGGAAAATCATCATCGATTGCACTTACCTGGTAGATTGCACTCTCACTACCTACTTTGATGTGGCAACCTAGAGAGTGCATCACAATTAGCATGTTTTTCAGATGATTTGTATTCTATCACATATAATCATAGGCAGAGAGTACCAATGCCCACCTTTGCATCCTTGCAGCAGCAAGTGTGGGAATTGCAGACCTAGGGCCCAAAATTGCGAATAGTGGTTTGTGATCTGTGATCAATGTAAAATTTCGACCATACAGAAACTGGTGAAATTTTTTACCCCGAACACTATCGACAATGCCTCACGCTCAATTTGGGCATAATTTTTCTCAGTTTGACTAAGTGTGCGAGATGCGTAAGCAATTGGTCTTTCCTGACCATCGTCCATCACATGACTCAGAACGGCATCAAGTCCGTAACTTGATGCATCACAAGAAAGTCTTAATTTCCTATTTAAATCGTAGTGTACTAACAGGGTATCACTAGTAAGACTTTGTTTACAAACATCATAAGCTTTTTGACATTCGGACGTCGACTTCCACTGGACATCTTTTTTTAAAAGCTTATGCAAAGGTGCTAAGGTTGTTGCCAAATTTGGAAGAAATGAATGATAATATTGTACCATACCCAAGAAAGATCTTAGCTCACTGACGTTAGATGGCACAGGGGCCTTCCTAACGGCATCCACTTTCTCCTCTACCGGGTGCAAGCCCTTTTCATTAATTTTAAGACCTAGGTACACAACTTCTGGTTTTAAAAACTCACATTTTGACTGTTTTAAGTGTACATTATGCCGACATAATCTTTATAAAACCTCACCTAATATTTTCAGATTCTCTCTCCAGTCATTCCCACCAATAAGAATGTCATCCTGCTTACATACACATTTCTCTATCCCTTGGAGAATCTGATCCATTTTAGACTGAAATATTTTAGGTGTAGATTTAACCCCATAAGGTAACTTAGTGTAGCTATACAACCCTTTATGTGTGTTTATTGTAAGATACTCTTGACTCTCTTTATCAACATTTAGCTGAGCATATGCATGAGATAAATCAAGTTTACTAAAACCTTTAGACCCTGTTAGCATAGTGTACAAATCCTGTGTAGTGGGAAGAGGATACTGCTCGTCTTGCACCGATTGGTTTATTGTTACCTTATAGTCTCCAGACAACCTTATAGACTTATCGGCCTTTGGTACAACTACTACTGGACTTGCCCACTTTGTCCTCTCAGTTTGTTTTTATCACACCATTTCTCTCAAGTTTTTCTAACTCTGCTTCTACAGCCTCTTTCAGTGCAGAAGGAACTTTACGTGGCTTAACAAACACTGGCCTTGCCCCGTCTTTCATAGTGATATGTGCTTCAAACCCTTTCATTCCTGTAGTATCTCGCCGGTGTAGGTCTTCAATTTTACAGCTGACGGACAAAGTGGAAAATGACTAAACTTCTGATCATACATGCTTTTACTCATTATCGAGAAATCAGCAGCGGTGTCAATCTCCATGTCACACACTACCCCATTAAGAGATAGTTCTACACTGTATCTCTTATGAGAATAGTTCTCTGACTCTACTGAATATAAAGAATAAATACCTAATTCATCACTATTGACATTATCATTATTACTATCGTACAATGATAAATTTTGAATGTTACCTCTATCTACTTGTCCGTGTTTGGATGTTGAACCAGGCTTAACCTCTTTACTGGGTTTACTACGACACACTGACGCTATATATGACCTATTTTTGTACATTTAAAGCATTTTGCTGTTTTAAATCTACAAGTTTTTGCAGTATGATTTCCGCCACACCTGTAGCACACTTGCTCGTCATTTCTCTTGCTTTCTATTTGGTTTACCGTCCCTTCACTGGAAGCACTGGCACTAGTAGTTGGATGAAACTCTTGCGTGTTCCTTTCAGCCATCTCCATAGACTTCGCAATCTGACAGGCTTTGTCGAATGTGATATTTTCGGTGGTCAACAGTTTGTTCTGTATCTTGACGTTGTTTAGCCCACATACAAAGCGATTTCGTAATGCTCGATTTAAAAATTCCCCAAAATTACAATGAATGGAAAGTTTTTTTAATGCCACTACATATTCACCAATTGACTCACCGGGTTTTTGACTACGTGTCCCAAAATGAAAACTTTCAGCGATCTCCAACGGTGCTGGGTTAAAATGCTTCTATAGTGCTTGAACTATGTTAGCCAAAGACGTGTCTTTTGGCTTCGCTGGCACCAACAGATTACTTAATGTGGAATATACATCCGCTCCAATCTCAGTTAGAAAAATGGCACGTTTCCAGTCCTTGACAAGTTGATTAGCCCCTTCATTTTCTTCACCTGGTGTCTCTACAATGTTGTTTGCCGTAAAAAACATTTCCATTCTTTCCACATAGGATTTAAATGTCTCTCGTTCGGAATTGAACTCGCCAACATGGCCGAACAGTCCTCCGGCTGTTGCCATTTCAATGTTCAGTTATCAGATTTAATAAATTTCTTACTTCCAAACTTTTAATGAACGATTATTATTGTCTTTATTAGGGTCCACTACAGTATATGTACAAAGTCTAATTATAAAGTCAATTATTCGGAGACCCTAAATGGGCGAGGCGCAAACGGGACTCGAAGAACCATGCAAGGCACCTGCCCAAACTTAGTAAAAATTTACTGTTCTAAATTGAAAATCTATACTGTTCTAGTAAACCTCGGAGGTGCATACGCGTCATAACTTTTCCCACTACTGCGAGGGTATCTCACGCAACTTTGAGCATGTAGAATATATCCGATCCTCGTCGCCAAATGTAGTATACTGAGATTTGTTTTAGTATAAGAATATAAGCAAAACAAACAAACAACATGGTCGAGTTACAACACAATTCCTTTATTCCCGCACAGCATTATGGGATATGCATAAATTATGCTAATATGAACCTTAATATATTACACTTGTCATATAGAAAACTTGCTCGTAACCAGCTTTAATCACAACATGGATCCATGCATGATATATTGATTTGATAAGAGAATTGATATCTGAAATATACAACTGGTGGAAAGAAATGTGCATATCAGTAGATGACAATAACTGACTACTTGAACAACTTCTTCAAATTACCTTCACGTAAATGCAAATAGGCGTTCACACAACAAGGAATTTTGTTGACAAAGCTAAAGACCCTGCACGCACGTTCAAGTTGTGAAAAGCAAACACAAAGTATAATAAGTGATATTTCATATAATAAGTGATATATCCCACTTCCATACTTGATTAGATTCAGAATCTGAACCGCGCATCTGATTGGCTGTTTGCAAAAAAAAACATGTCAAACTGGTTTGGAAAATAAACAGTATTAAAATCATTGCTACATTTAGCAGACTATAATTTAGTTCAATGTTTGTTTATTTTCGAAAGCGGTTTGATGTTTTTACAAGCAGCCAATCTCATGCCAATCGAATTTCCTCGACTAATAATAACTCTGTGTTAGCTTACTGACCCACGTTCAAGCTTGTTGAAGGCAAACAGTCATGTTTGGTGTGATCTTTCAGTCAGACAATTGTAAATTGGGGGAAATATTGTTCATGATGTGCTAAAACGTACTGGGAATTCAGTTTACTGATTAATAACGTATTTTATACCGTTTGTACTGTTCATAAACTAAAATTTGTAAAAAGTAACAATTTCGAAAACACATCATCTATATAGCCTAACCATATACAGAACGACGTTTTTGTTTTTGTTAAAGATGCGAAAGTGTGAGTTTATTGCTATGCATGATCTAATTATTATGGGTGACTTGACAGGATAAAATTATTTAGTTTTGAAGTGATAGAAAAATTATTCATGTACTTTAAAATAGTTCTTGTAGCTTTGTAGGCTAACACGCACAGTTATAAAATCAATATATCTATTTGTAACTATTGATATATCTATCTGTTGTTCCAAGAAAATATTTTAGTTTCCATGAAAGGATTTTCTATTTTGGGTGTCACTGAAAGTTTTGTGCTGGTAACAGTGTGAAATCCTAAAACTGAACTAGACGCCCCGCATTTGGCCGCAGAAAGTTTTTGGTTTCCTTGCATTCGATCAATATAATTGCTTTAACGACATAATTTAATATAATGCAAACAGCAGCAATATGCATACCATTTACGCGAATGGCCTGGTCGAACTTAAAGATGAGGTCAAGTCTGCTCTGCGCATGTGCTATGTGAGGCGGGCCCTCTGATCATGATATAAACAAAACCCAAATATTCACAATCATCAAAATCTATAGTCATTTAAAAGCACAACAAACCAGAACGATGTTTGGTGTTAACTAAGTGCATCATATTATATGAATATTTTGTCTTCAAAATGTAAACAAACTGCACATCCGGTGAACGGACTTGACCGTCTCTTTAAAGGCCGGAAAATTGGAACAATAATTATGCTTGTCTATTTGAAAGAATGTTAAATTTACAAATCCTTTTTATAAATCCTCCCAAACTATCTTAGTTTTTGAGATATTTGAAACTAGAATATCCTGCCATCCGCCATCTTGTTGGTAATTTCCCTTTGCAAAAGTATTTTCCCTTTGCGGCTCCGATGTGGGCGATAGCCATACCACAATGAATTTCCTTTACTTTTACTTGTTTTGCTTTCGATACATCACGTGAACGTACCATGCAGAGTGATTTGGAACCATCCAAATTTACCATAACAATTCCTCTTTACAAATTCGACTCTATTGTAATCTTTATACAATTATGAGCATAATACAATAAGATAAAAATAAACTAATAATCATCAAAAATATAAACTATCAAAATCAACTTCAACCAAAATATTATGCTTCTTTACTATAGTATAAAACTAGAGATTTTATAAATTTCACGATACAATTTATTATGTGAGAGTAAAACGTTTTTGTGACTGAATTTGCCTGAGGGAAGCAGCTCATTACTGCGAGAATAATAAATTATAATAATTTACAAAGATTCCATACTCAAACGTACCCTAAAGTGTACCGTACATAGAAATAGAACAACTTCGTCTCTAGCTAGTTAGGTTGTTCAGTTGTACAGTGCGAATGTGAAAGTAAACATTGTAATTCATTTATTCATATAGCTTGCTTGTAAGCGTGTTTTAGCACCGGATGTATAATATGTAATCGCTATTTCAAAGAATTGAACAATAGATCTCTTTGGTTAAGGGTTAATCAGGAACCAAGTTCCTGGAACTATAAATAACACCTTCATCAAACATATTATGCAAACACGCAGACTAGAGGCAGGCTGTTTATATAAAGCGGTTATACTGATACCTTGTCTGCTGTTATTCAGAGAAGTCAACTGGAGTTGTCCGCAATATGATACAGGCAAAATAAACTAAGTAACTGACTTAGAATATAGACCAACCCAGTGAACTCTACTATGGCCAACAAGGAGCGAACAGTTGCAATCGTCATCATTACAGTAAATGCAGTGGTTTCAATTTTACTGGTAATGTCTGTCGTTTATTTATTCTTCCAAGTCAGCAACTTACAAGAAGAGAACAAGAACCTACGAAATAAATGGCAGAAACTACAAGTTCTACATGAATGTGACGAGAAGACGGATCACAAAGAGGTAAATAACTGCGTATTATCTGTAATGTAGTGAGGCAAAGGTCAAATATTGCTATGTATTGTTCTATATAACCAGAAGGTCGCCTTTTATAGTGTTGTGGCGAACTGCTACTGTATGGAATTAAACCGATAGATTAATCGACGAATATTTGTTATTTAGAGAAAGACCATCAAACAGAATGAAAAAATACGTTGTGGTAAGCAGGCTATTTAATATTTCTTGCATATTTAATAGGACGCAACGACCGCCAAGGGCAAGGCTATCCTATATGTTATAACTGTAGAGGTACTCAAGTGTTATTTATATCATCTAGTGTTTGATTGTACAACTAGAGCCTATATCTTCACAACTAAAATGAATTTTTAGCTCCTATACAAGAAAATGAAAGCAAATATGCAGCGAACTGTAGTAGAATACCAGCAATGCTAGTGAAAGACAATACAAATCCTAAGCACAGGTGATATACATACATGTACGTCAATTAATGACAAATCTCTCAAATAAATTATTTTGATGTGAGTAGCTTGCCATGCAGGCAAACTTAATTTATGTTCAATCGTCTCTTTACTTTCGTTCACCATTGCATGTTTGCGATCTTACAAAGACAATATTCAATTTCCAGCACGGCAGGGCTCGCAAGCACAATGTTATTGTCTTACAATCATCTATCTATAAATACTTCTATGGGGAAAACATGAATGCAGAGAATATTTTATCATCGTCCTCATACCCAAGGTTTATACTGCGCTTATTGGTTAACCAAACGTAGGGACTACAAGCAACCAAATTACTGCAATTTACAAGAGCAAACATTTCTAAGTAATATATTTTGGTTTAGGAATATAAAGTATTTGACACTTTGTTGCATTGCAGCAACACTTCACGGTTAGCTATTACGCCAATAGCTGCAACGGCATGCTGCGGTTGCGACGGACAAAAAATACCGGCCAGCCCAGTCGAAAATTTGGCCAAATTTCCGACTGGACTGGCCCGGTTAACAGGGATGATTCGTTTAATGAGCTCTCATTTTATCGCGGCTTTAATAAACATCCAAAATGACATAATATTATTTCAAAGTTCAATTAGCTTAATTGATGCCAATAACATGCAGTATAAAAGTTCATTCAAATTATATTTCAGCATGGTCAAGAAACATTTTCGCACTCCGGCTAGTCGGTTTGGCCTGGCTCATATGAACATCCTCTTTGGGGATAAAATCTTCATTAAATTTTCGAACATGGTTTCCATATCTGCAAAATATTCAGCATCCCAAGATTTCACCAAACTACCAGTTTCGTAAAATGTCTTTAATTTAACCACGAAATTTTGTAAGGCATCAATTAACAGCTAAAGGCCTCATCTTTATCCGAAACATGCCAAAGTTAGATTTAACCTTTTTATGCACTTGACGTTGTATGTATATATATATGTTGCAATTAATACATTTACAATATGATGCAAATGAAGTAGCAAGGCCTATTATCGATTCAGTCTGTATAATATAACCGCATATATGATAAGCGTACAACCTTTTTATAATACACAAAAGCGTACAACGTAGGCTACTGTAATTATCAGATTTTGGAAAGAACGTTTACTGCCTACTGCTAAACGCAATTTTCAGGTTTTGAGTTTGAAATAAAACCAAATTTGATAAACTTTAAGCATCAGTAAATAAAGGTGGATAAGTACTAGGAATCGATTTCCGCCGAAACAGGAACTAACCAAAAAGTGTGATCTGGCCACAACCAGAAAGCACTCTATATACCGCGCTACGGTATTAGGTATACTTTCCACACTGGTGGACTATATCTACACTTCCAATATCATGAACTATATCTTTCAAAATGGATCGAAAGCGCCTAAAACAAGACATGCGGCTCAAGTAGCAGCTAATTACAATGATCCAAATGAGTAACCATGCACATTAAAATCATCATAAATTGTATTTCATCACATTTTTTATAGGTATAAAAGGCAAGCGTGGAAGACCAGGTAAATTGACTGCTCAGTTATGTTCTTATTGTGTACAAATTATGTGGCGACGGGGAATGGGAAGGGAATAAGCGGGCATTGAGCGGGAAATGGGACGGGAATGAGCGGGGAATGCTTAGTGGCCTACGTAAATAAGCTAGATTCTGCAGTATGGCGGGGGAAAAATTCATAAATAGTGCGGCCGCTTGGGTTGAAAGCACGCCCAGGACGATACATGATACATCACATCAAAAAATAATAGAGCGCAAATTAATGGGCCCAGAGCTTCACTGTACCACAGCGCTAATACTTACCTTTTTCAGGTGTTAAAGGAGATCGAGGCGAGAAAGGCGATCCTGGGAATGACGGTGTTGGTATGTCTGGAAAAGATGGAATGAAGGGAGAGAAAGGTTAGACTAAATGACAATTAAAATTATACAAAAGACATGTACAGGGGAAAGGTCCCCTTCTGACGTGCGCACGCAGTGGTCGGTTCCCCCACAATTTCACTCAGTGTCTCTAATATTATATACATTGAATATGGCTGCAGTAGGAGTGCCGGGTGTCAATCATCAAGTGTACACACGAGCGAAAGACTTCGACTAAGAAACAAAGGTCTGACGAGGAGTAACGCGGAACTTGGCAGGGGTTAGGATGAGGAAAAATATTGAATCGAATGTGGGAGTTGAAAAAGAACCTTTCAACTGTTTGAGTCCCGCAGCCTATACATGCAGTACGAGACTCGTCAAGTGAAATATGTGCAGTATTAAATGATTATATTAAAATTTGATGGGTTTTGGTAACGTTTTCAGCATCGCAAATCCTCTTTAGAAATACCATCCATCTTCCTAATGCAATGCAGTGAAATGCAACATTTGATCATATTTTTACATTATATATAGGTGATCCGGGAATTTGCAGTGACTCTTGTGGACAAAATTTGTTGGAAAACAAGGAAGTACGTATTGTGATGCGTGATTATATATTTAACAGTTATTCTACGCCTATCGCTCATATTAGACGAGAGTGAGTGGGATAACTGTTTTATTATATACACAAGATCTGAATTCACAGACTTTGCTTTTCTTTTATTTTCAATATTTTTCTATTTTGTTTATGTTGTTATATTCGCTCTTTCGGCCCATTATTTTTTCAAAAATATATATTTTTAACCATTTTAAATTCATTTTTAAAAATTTTAAAAATTCATTTGCTAACCTGTAAACAATTTGTGGGAGTTTTTTCATTGTGTTTTTAATCTTGAAAAAGCTATAAAAAGCGAATAACTTGCCGTTTTCTCGTTTGCAAACGTCGGAAATTCAGTTTGAGCCGCCATTTTGTTTTTCTCTACTAGCAGGATACGAGCTAATATCCTGCTAGTAGAGAACCAATCAGATTGCAGAATACCTCATATCCAGACCTTGTGTATATAATAAAAACTGTTATTCATCATGTTCCTAACTGGTCTTTCGTCATTTTAGGACTCTCCATTAATACATATGGTAGGAGATGGAAAACAAAATAAGAGAATAGACAATTTGGAAGGTAAGATTTTGTACTTACTATATCTATGAGTATAGCTATATGTTCTAACAAGTACTCTTGTATTGCATTTGTCCAAACAGTAACTTAATTATACTTCATTCTTGAATACATAATATAGCGCAATGTGCTGTCAGATTTTCCATTCTTTTTTACGAACTTTTGAGGAACATTTGAAAAACTGTCCGAGGAAAATTTATTCAGGGTCCAAGAAAAATTTAAAACCACTTTTCCCACGTCTGGATAGTTCTTAAACATAAACTAAAGCGTCTGTGATTCCCATTCTATATTAATTCGTTTTTTATTCAAACTCAAAAAACACTGAATTTCTTGCCTTTGATGGTTTTTTTTTTCGCTAACATTTAACATATTTAACTGCAGTAATCTAACCTCTCACCGGCGATATCTGACTGCATGTACTATACATTCAGTATAGCTACTGTACATTCAGTTATAACGGTGGCAAATTAAATTCGATTCAAAATTCAAGGCGAACAAACGAGATTTTTCTGGTTAATTGTATCAGAGCTCGATTAAGTGTTTGTACTATTTACTTCGTTGCTCCTCTTGTTCAAAAAGAACAACGATCTGCATGGCGTCGTGATGAGTAAAGGAATTAAGCAAGGCTTAATACGGGGACGTAACAAGAGAACAGCCTTAAATTTTACACTTTTAAATATACAAGGAACTACTCTAGTTATTAAGAACATCAACAGGCCTCGTTTTCTTCCACAATCGAAGAAGTTTTCCAGTTTCCGTCCTACATGCTTAAGGTTGCTAATGATGCAGTTGATAACCGGACATAGTACAGCAATGCGTTGCTCTGGAGCATGCACCACAAGCAAAGACATATATTACTATTTTTGTATAACTACCAAAGCTTATAATTCTGACAAACTAACAGATTAACGGACTCACGTAGCGAATATAAAGCGACGCCACCGGCTGTTCATATGGAGCCAGGCTGGCCCAGTTAACCGGGGTGTTTCGTTTAATAAAGTTCTTTCACGGCTTTGATAAACATCCAAAATGACATTTCAAAGCTGAACTAGCTAGTTTGATTCCAGTTCCAGCTAGTATAAACTAATTAAGATTAAACATCATTCAAATGATCGTTTATGGTCAGCAAAAAAAATTCGTGACACGCACGATTCATCCCGGCTATAGTAGGGCTGGCACGTCTCATATATGAACAGAGCCTAAGTCTGAGAAAAATTGAAATCATATTTTATTTCCAGAATCAGCCGTGTCTTTCTGGAATGTGACATACAAGGCAGGTGATATATCGTACAGCAAAGCCGAAGGAAAGCTGACAATCAATGTTGAAGGATTTTACTACATGTATAGTCAAATGGCTTATTGTGAAAAAAAAGAACGTAAAGTTGGACACACCATGTCAATTAACGGCAATGACGTCCTGAAATCAATAATAACTGCCAAAGATTTAGGAACTCACAAAGTAGGAGGCATTTTTAAACTCAAAAAAGGCGACAAAATAGCGATCAGTCCTGTTGTAACAAATCTGGAATACTGTTTTTCTAGACAAGAAGCTTACTTTGGCGCTTTTCTCGTTCGCAAGTAAGATTATTGTTCCTTTTCTTCCGGTGAAAGGTTTATGAATGTCATCATCCAGTTCTTTTGGAGGAAATTAATAATCTGGTAAAATTAACCAGCTCCACAAATTCTAGTCAAAATCTAACTGATAGTTTATGATGTAAAGAGGATCGGGCAAAGTTGCCAAGCGTTGATAAAAATGTTACCAGTTAAAGTGTGAAGTATAAAACTATAAAAGTTTCATCCTAAAACACATAAGATTTGCGCAAAAGAAGAAAATTCTAGAAGAGACCAAATCAATACTTCAAAATGATTGCAAATTCATCATCAAACTAATTTTCAGTAAGGGGGAAAACATTAATTCGTGTCTATTCAGCCCTTTACTTATAAAAAAATATAGTTAGTAACAGCTCACTTGAGCTAGTGTACACAGTAGTTGTCAATGTTTGTGCACTGTTAGTGGTTAATGGCACCTTACTTGTGAATAATTGTAGTAAAGTACTGTAGATTTGTATAATGCACAAACCTTAGTTTTTGTAATATTGCATGTAAGCGGCTGATTGAAATAGAGAGTTTACGATCTACGCGGCCGGCTCAACGACGCGCTTTCCAAACAAAGAAATTTGTCATGCAAGACAAAAGCTGTGAATAATTCGTGGTCCCCAGGGTATATTCTCAACGGCCTTGTCGTTCTCAACACAACGTTTAAACTATATAAGCATTAGCGTCTTTCAAGCAACGTGAAAGCATATTATTGCGACACAAGAGGTGTGGCATTCTCAACAAGCTTACGTTGAAATTATTTTCAACAAAACAGAAACAATATCTGTTCGGGTACAACAAGCACATACAACGCAAAAATTAACCATTTTAATACAAAATTATTATAAAGTTTTACAAAATTTGCTTTGTTTACAAAAGTTATATTGTGCATAGATTCCTAATTTGTCCTCCAGATGCATCGTCACCGGCGCTGTGACGTCATGTTCAATGGGTCTATATTACGAGATGTTTTAATTTAACTTTCTGAAAATTTCCCATGTAGCAGCTCAAACGAGTCAGAGAACATGACCAAAATAGACAAATTTAGGGCAATTCATCATTTTTTATCGTTCCTTTTCCATTTAAAAAACAAACAAACTTAGCTTAGGTACTGCAGGTGTATCTTATATACAGTGAATTATTCATGATGTTCTTGCACACTGAACATTTCTTCACAAACTAGTCAAAATGGTGTTTCAATGACTTCAATACATGAACGCATGAATGATGGTATATTCTCCCGCATAGGGGTTAACTCCGGTGAACTTAGTCACCCCAGATTTCCCCAGTGTGATTTTAATGCATTCAAAAACCAAAATGCGACAAAAATACTCAGTTATAAGGTATATAGCTGTAGAATTGAGAAAAAATCCTTGAACGCCCGAAACAATAAATAGAAACAATCATTTTACTTTAATTTTTAGTTATATTTCGTGTCTATCACAAGTTCTCATCCAAGCATACTAAGGCTTAATGAGGTTTATCATCTCATTATCTATATTGTTTGAATTGCATTCGACACGACCGAAATTCGACGTATTAGACGGCCGGCCAAAACCGGAAAATGTGCAACAAAATTTGTTTGATGGCATTTTCTGTTACAAGCTGCCAACTGACATTTTCGTAAAGTATATGCATTAACAAACAAGACTAGACATGTTGTGGCAACTCTAATTTTGGCTTTATAGATGAAAATTTGAGAATTTGAAAATTTTGTCTATAAAAAGTAGGTACTATGATGAGAGAAATGCAAAATTACAAGTTCACATTGAACAAAAATAAATTATACCATTAGAAAGTTCGCAAAAAAGTATATATAAGACATTTAAGCATGTAGTATGATTTTTGTAGCCAATTTTGTGCTTTTAACACTGGAAAATTGGAAAAAAAACGCCAATTGATGCTGATAGTTACTATTTTGCCAACTTTAAGCTCCTTTAACACAAAACTGGCTTGAAAATTCGCACTACTCGCTTACATGTCTTATATATACTTTTCAGCGATCTTTCTAATGGTATAGATTATTTTTGTGAAAAATGAACTTGAAATATTGTATTTTTAGTCAACATAGTACTTTATTAGGCAAAATTTTAAAATTCTGAAATTTTCAACTATAAAGCCAAAATCAGAGGTGCCAACATATATAGTCTTGTTCACCAATGTGTAAGCTATAAGAAAATACCAGTTGACAGCTTGTAACAAAAAATGCCATCAGAGTGTACATTTCAGAATGTTGGCCGGTCGTCTATATAAAACAGGCCTAACAAAGGCCATTTCCGAATTACATGCGAGATATATCAAGAATGTAACGTAGGCTCCTTCTCAGGTTCTTTTGCACGCTCGGCGCTTCATTGCATTCGGAAATGGTCATTATCATCGATGAATTGTGTTTGCAGTTAAACCCAATGCCATGTAAAAATATTTCTAGTACAGTACATAGAGATAGAAAATCGAAAAAGTGCAAATATAATGTAGCTAGTAAATTATTTTTATGTTCCTTGCATAATGTCATGTATATATAATTTACTTTGTGAGTAGTATATTATAAGTCATTAACTATAAATGGATTAGTTCAAAAGAAACCTTACGAATACGAACATTATAATGATCGTGCATTGAAGTATAATTATAATGATATCAATGTTTTTTAAATGTTGCTTGTCTGTAAAACACTGTGTTTAATTTTTAACGCATAGCTACTTCATGACAGCCAGCAAGAGAATAGCGGAGAGACAAAATCGTATCGTGAAGTCAGTCCTATAAACGAGGTTCATGTAATCTGCAACGGACTGCAGCAGTCATGTAATCTGCAGCCATAACGGACCAACGATGTCGTTTTGGAAATTACATGACGGATATTCTTTGGCCCGACATGATCGAGCACTAAGCTAAATTGCTCAAGAAAATTCTCTTAGCTTGCGAAACGACAATAAACCAAGCTAAAAAAGGATTGACGTAAACTATAGAAAAAATGACGTAAAAGTTTAGACTTTAGTCCATTTGACACCGAGTGGTAAAAATCTTTTAGATTGCAAACCACTTTCTTTCTTGACCACAACTTTACGGGCATCAACTCCATAGTTCCCAAGCGCACTGTGCCAAAACTTCCACGACTTAACTCTTGCGGCTGATCTTTCAACAAAGTCCAGTCAAATGATGGTAATCCATGACTTGTTTTCGGTATTTTTACAAGATTTGGAACTCGGAAGCTATTGAATAAACCTGATATAGCAAAGTTGGAAAACAAGAATAACTATTTCCCCGAATTTTAAGTCATTTTTTTAGTTTATGTACGTCTGCCCAAGGCTTTTTAGCTTAGTTTATTGTAATTTAGCCAATTTAGCAAGCTATATTGTTGTTTCGCAAGCTAAGCGAATTTTGCTTAAAGGTACGTTTACACGCTGCGATAAATCGTGTACGATTCGTATTCTGGCGTATTAAGAGTGCTGGCGCCATAATTCATTGCCGTTTCGTTAAAAAGAAATTTCAAATCTAGCCAGTTTACGCGTGTTCACTCAATGACATACGCCAGAAAACGAATCGTACACGATTAATCGCAGCGTGTAAACGTAGCTTAACAAAATTAGCTTAGCTTGCTAAAGAAACGTCATTTTTGCACGCTTAACCTTGTTAATACTATTATGAACGATTATCCACTTTTCTTGTCATAAAAATTGATAAAAACTTTGGTCTTTATGATATTCCTCAAAATTCCTCCTTTTAAAGATTTTTAAAAAGGGAATATGATATTCCCCGATATATCCTCCCCTTTTAAAGATCTTTAAAAGGGCGGAATATGATATTCCCCGATATTCCTCGTTCTTCCATTCTCCATCCCTCGATTCCCCGTTCCCTCTTTTAAATATAGCCATATTCCACTATCGGCATAGTTTAGTTAGCGCCTGTCGAAAAAATATAGTAACACTGAACTTAGAAGCATTTACCTTTCATTACCCACCAGTAAGCTCGTGGACTCGATCGTCAAAATTGACTGAATCTACAAGTTTAACCAGTTTCATATTATTCTGACACTGCAATCGACCAACGAAAAATGCGTTGGCTCCAGCGGGATAATGTGAAACTGGTTTTTCGTATCTCTGAGGATGGTTCTGAAACTATACAAGTTTAAATGGCGTAAATCCAAATTGGGCTGAAGATTTGTAAAAACTGATTTATGAGATGTTCCAGATATTCCAGATGTTCCAGACGTAATGAAAAGGCTACTAATGACTATTGGGATGTTTGTTGATTTTTCATGTCTTTTTGAACATCAACATAAGAGGTTATGCATCAAGGTGAGGGACGATTAGTAACTAATCGTCCCGTGAGATGATTAGTTTCTAATCATCTCTCATGTTTTAGCAATGAGGTAAATTAGTCATTAATCGCATCTCGCGAAACAAAGGATTTCGAGGTAGCTATGAATATTACTTGTTTAATTGTATGTGATGTATGTGTCGTCTATCATCTTCCATCAAACGATACTAATAAATAAATAATAAATAATAGCTTTATTCATCCATCTTAAGATAAAAAAGTACAATGGACTTATAATTACTTGTTTAAGAAAGTATATGCTGTGAATATGTCTTTACATCACAAATTGTTGTAAGATAATTTAGAAAACTAACTAAGAAGTTAAAACTATTTATAAATATTTACAAGCTCTTCTTTAAAAAGAGAGTTTATGCCTTTCAGTTCCTGAGAAGAATGATATATTGATTATTGCGATTCCGGTCAATGTTCCTTAAATTGTACTGATTGTTAATTAATTTTGGCAAAACACTGTGACAGGGATGGTTTGGATCGTTCATAAACCTATCCACTTCTCGACTAATTGCCTCTTCCCTTCTTTCGTTCAACGGTGGCAGGTAATATTTTTCCAGACCAAAGATTCGTAAGCTCCTGGATTGAACCCGCTCTATTTCATCTCGCAGGTAATTAGGGAGTCCCGCCCAGACAGGTGATGCATACTCGAGAATTTTGGATTGATAGGTAATAATACCGACTTCAACTGGTAACTGCGATTTCATGCATTTTCTAAGATGGTAGAGGCGTTTATTTGCTTTTCGTGTAATCTCTTCAACATGTGCGTTCCATTTTAGATTATTTTGGAATGACACGCCAAGTAGTTTAAAAACGTTGACCCTTTCTATTAACTCATTTCCAATACGAAGACGTGGTGGTTCAGGTATAGCGTCTGTGAAAGAGATCCACATGTCCTTAGTTTCTTTACCATTAATTGCCATTTTATTTAACACAGCCCAGTTATTTACTTCATTGATAGATTGTTGTAAATTACTATTAGAATCTACGCTCACTATTTGGTGTTGTGTGCAGTCATCTGAATGAAAAGAATGGGAGATATTACAGAGCCTTGCGGGACTCCGGCCTGGCACGTTGCAATGGATCAGTAAAGTACCATTGAGATTTACTTGTTGAACTCTTCCGGAAAGGAAACTTTTAATCCATAACCAGAAGGGTTTATTTATGTTCATAACTGCTAACTCGTTCAAAAGAATATTGTGATCCACAAGATCGAAGGTCCTACGAAAATCAATGAAGGCCGCATGAACCCCCATTTTGCCTGTTTTTGAACAATCAGTGGCATTAAACCAGGTTTAATTGGGTAGTTGTTATTAACGCAGAGACTATGCTTCGATGTTGAGTAAACGCGTGCTGGTTATTCTTAATTTTCAGATCTTCAATATTTAACTGGAGCTGAATCTTTTCCAGGATCTTGGCAAGTTGGGGTAAGACTGATATCGGGCGGAAATCACTGTTAATGTCTCTCGTCGGTTGCACTTTAGGAACAGGGGAAATTAGGGCATGTTTGTAGAGTGATGGATAATAACATTGACTTATACTACAGCACACAATGTCATATAAACCACAGGAGCTACGTCTTCGTGGTATTGTTTGAGCATCCATGCAGGAACCTTATCAATGCCAGTTGCCGTTTATGGATTAAGATGTTTTAAGACCACTTTAACTTGGCCAATAGAAGGAAGGGGTGGATTATTATTCTTATGTGGGTGGTTCACTTCAGGTATTTCAGAGGCGGCATTCGTGTAACGGTCCGACCATGGTTTAGTGAAGGTTTTCTGAAGTTTTTCAGCTAACTCGGATAAGTCTAGGTTTTCGGGCCTGTGTGAAAATTGGATATGGGTTGTATTTTCGGCATTTACTAAAGAGTAGATACAGTTATACCACTTCGATTGATTCGAGGAACGAAATTCTGATGCCTTAGACCGATACTAGGTGACTTTAGCTTTAGCTATAAGATTTGCCACTTTCTCACATAGTTGTTTGTATCTTGACTTATCACCACGAGAAAAGGCTTTCTGACGAGCTTTGATTTGCATTTTAATATTACCAGTGATCCACGGTTTATCAGAGTGATGTACTCTGATAGTTTTTTCAGGTAAGAACTCGTCAAGCATCTTGATTATAATAGAGTTATAAGCTGATACTTTCTCATCCACATCCAGTGCTGAATATACAGTGGCCCAATCTTTAGAAGCCATCTTCAGGAAGAGGTCATTTAAATTTGCTCGTTTCATCAATCTAATTTTTTTTTATCATGACGTAACCGGAGTTTTCTGTCTTTTAATGGGCTTGATTAGAAGACATTGGTGGTCGGAGCGTCCGATTGGGGGGAGATGGCTAACAGTGTCAAAGAGAGGGAGCATATCAAGGAGTTGATCAAGAATGTTGTGTCCTCTAGTCGGTTTAGTTACAGATCTTTTTAAATTAAATCTGTGACATAGTTCTCTTAATTTTAGTTCATTGAAGTCCCCAGCTATAACAATTCCAGATGAAGGACGTTCGCGCAAAAGACTATATCTATACAAGTAGTTAAGTATACATTCATATCGACTGTGTACAGTATACCCGCTTTGGGCGTTTAATAAAGGCCCCAAGTAGATTGGGGTTATAACAGGAACTCATTTGTAACAATGGACCTTAGCAATTAGCGTGGTTAATGACCGTGACATTTATTTTAATTAATATGCAAAAATTAACAAAAATAGGTGTGTATATAAGAAAAGTTTTGATGCAAATAAAGCATCATTTTCACAAGTAAGCAAGGAGTCAAGTCTTTTACATGGTAGCAGGAAATGTTTCTTAAGCTCGAGGAAAGTTACTTGATATTAAGAGAAGATGTCGACGATGAACGAAAGCGAGAAAGAGTTATACCAAGCGGTTCATGCCATGACATTCGCAGACATTCGCAATGAACTACAGCTATATAGTTTGCCCATTACCGGCACGAGAACGTCTTGTACTTAAAGGCTGTTTAAGTACAAACGACAACAACTGGCGACGGAATCTTCATCGAAAGTAAACCCTTCGAAGAGAATGATTACACGGGGCCCAAGCTGAATTAGCGACGGTGCAAAATCTCGAAGGCGAAGGCTCCTTCGCACAGCTCGCCGCACAAGAAGCATTAAATATACCAAACGAAACACTCGAAGCGAAGGTTAACGTAACGGAGCAAAATTATCTACAGAAGAAGAACAAATATTGGACACACGACTAGCTAAGCATTTAGCCGAATGGCAAGAACTACAACAGTTCTTGAAGGTCTTGGCAGACACTCAAATCGTCGCGAATATGTCGCCTGTTGTTGAGAAACCCGGCGTAAAAGACAAAGGTCAAGCACTAGAAGTATCTACACCATTTAATAAGATAAGCAAGGCGATGACGAAGGAATTAGCCAGCTAGTACGAAAGCAAAAATTTGTCGGCACGTCAATTGAAGTACTCATCTATGAAATGCACAAGTTGATGAACGATGAGAAATCACAAGTTCTGCTGGATAAAGCACTGGAACGTTTAAATTCATTAGAGACAGAATACAGCCGTATTGTTCAAGAACTGATATCTATTCTCCCGAATGAAGAATCCGTAAATGACGAAGTTCGAAGGTGGGCGTTATTTCAACAAGAAATTTTGGAAATTACGATGTTGGCGGAGTACCAAATTTCCATACAATCAAAAGAAGAAAATTCTAAGGGACAGTTCTCCACAACAAACCACTCAAACCCAGTATCAAGCCATTTACGTCTTCCAAAGTTTACGTTGAGCGAGTTTACAGGAAATATTATACAATGGGTTTCTTGGTGGGATCAGTATAAAATCTGCATTCACGAAACGAGACACTGACCGATCGTGATCGCTTCAACTATCTTCGAATGTTTGTCAAAGGGACAGCGAAAAGGGCGTTCGAATATATCGAGGTATCTGGTGAGAACTACTCTAAAGCTATCGAGGCACTTCAAAGAAGATATGGCAGAAAACGACTAATAGTAGAACATTTAATAGAATCCTTGCTAAATATTGAGAAGAAAGATAAGGTCGAAGCGTGGTCCCTAAGAAATTTGTATGACCTCATGGTTAGTCGATACCGTACTTTGGAATCGTATGAGCCAAAGCTCGCGGAAGCACAACACTGGTCCCGCAATTCTCCAATCAAAGTTTCCGGATGAAATTCACCGAAAGTGGGAGTTTCAACTTTCCAAGCTCGAAAACGAAGAAGATCGCCAAGTTACAGTGAAGTATCTCTTTGACTTTCTGAGATCTCATGTTATGTTAGAAGAGCAAATGAAAAAACCAAGAATGTTTTCCAGCAAAGGTCAAAAAGGACAGCGAGGAAAGGACCGGGCTTTTAAATCTTGGAGAAGACAACAAAGAGGAGAAAGAGAGGAAGAGAACAATCAACCGCCTTTCTCAGCCACAGCATTGAACGCAGATTCGAAAGGAAAGGATACTTCCAATATATCTGGTGAACAGCAATGTACCAACTGCGGCAAAAGACACCACATATCAAAGTGTTTCTCATTTGCAAAAAAGTCGATCGATGATAGATTAAATATTGATAGATTAAATACGTAGTGTTAGTTCCCACAAATATATTTCAGTTCCAAGACATGCTTAATGAAAGTGAACGATAACGGGACGCAGCAAACGGCCTCAATGCTCTTATTAACCTCGCTTGCTCGGTGTGTATACAGAGCAATATCGGACCGAGGTCTTTTTTGTACAGACTGAGCCCGTAGGGCGAGGTTTGTGCAAAAAGACCGAGTCCGATATTTCTCTGTACATACTGAGCAAGCGCGGTTAATAATTGCAATATAATAATATAATAGTTTATTATATGGCATTTATACTTGAAACAAGCAAGAAATGCATGATTTGAAATGTATATTTATTAGTAGCGTGGTACACATTTGGTCGAAGACAACAAAAAATACCATTGTTATATAGCTAGGGTGAACACCAAACGTGATTGGCTGATTTCTGGTACGTGACTTCAGATAAATGCAATTGTAACCCGCTGGGCAACAAGTGAAGAATTGTTGCCCGCCCCGACCGGCTACGCCGCACATAAATAAACAAAATGGCGGCACAACTAGGATAATTAGAAACTACGATTTGCCAAGTTTGTGTTCAAATAAAGAATGTAAAAGAGAAGAAAAATACACAACAGGATATGCCGCTGAATCCGTTTAAGTAGGTTCTTTTAATTTTAAACTCGCTTACACTATAGCCCGCGTGCAGGCCCAAGGGAAGAATACTGGGCCTGCAAGCAAGAACCGGTATTTTGTACTTTCCGCGTTCGCCTACGAACTCATTCTGATTGCATGGCTGTTTGCTGTTGGATTCTATAATTAGATCAGCAATTCGTCACAAAGGCTCTCGATAAGCTTAAAATTCGAAAATTGATCACTTTTTTCGATTAAAAATGGAACAAGAACAGACTGTTTATTGTTTACTTGAAGGAAGAGATGTTTTTTCCGTTATGCCAATGGGGATTGCTTGTCCAGTGAAGTGTTGGAATAGCAACATTACGACTGGTTTAACTATAGTAACCTTTACTTGAGTTTCATTCATTTCAAACAGACTTGATACGTTATATTTTCCTCAAGAAAATTATCTTTTGGTAGATGTTGACTCTGTTCTTGCACTGAAGAAAACAGCGCTTTTCGCGGCGAAGATTTAGAGGCAGTTGCATGTAAGCCTATTCTAAACACTTTGCGATTGCAAGGTTTCGCCTCGCAGGCGAGAGCGAAACAGAAGACGGTAATTGCCGTTTGAAACGAAACGATCTGGACTCTGAACACTCTCTTCTTTTATAGAGTTCTTTACCAAATGAAATAACTGAAATACATTTCGTACTTTCCGCCGCCAACAAGAATTGCACACATGATCTGATAAGTGAGATAATTTATTTATAACAATGGCGACAGCGAAGCGCACATTAATGCTAATGTAGTCGCATCACTTTGTTTGAGACTGGTTTTCTGTTGAAATTATTATTATTATTATTATTATTAAAACTTTATTTAAAGAAGTTACAAGGAAATATGCCAGTTTAGCTTTCGCTAATCTTCCACTGGACCTTCTAAATTCGTCCTAATTTGCCTGTTCCGAGTTGAAAATGAGCACTTGTTAATTTGGAAATTGCTGACTGCGTTGCTTGCTTTTTTGGAGTTAAAACGCAGCCATTTACACATTGTTTCTGTTCTGAATAAGCAGATAAAACCCCGCAACATTTTAATGCGAATTTGTTTGTTAATATTTGGGTTGCTGTCATTGGTTCTTTTTTTGACAATTGACGCGTGAATGGGGCGTGTTTAGTATGAAAAGGGGCGTTTTATAAAACACCGGGTCTTGCCTGCAGGCCCACTATTCTTCCCTTGGGCCTGCACGCGGGCTACTTACACTATAAAGTTTTTGTCACGAAATACAATTGTTGTATGAATGTTGTTGAATGTTGATTTTTGTTCGTCGCTATGTAACAAAACGCTTAATGCCTGTTCCCTCAGGAATTAGTTAGTTTTATTTTCGTCTCATGAATAATGCATAAAGTGCACCGGCTTTTATACTATACGAATTTAAAATTACCGACTACAATCGTTTGACGTACTAAAATCAAAATAACTTTTATGCAAATAATCTAATGAAAGGTGTATCCTTTGCTACAAATTGATGTGCATGTATAAAGGAAAGAAAGGGAGATTCTACCGCGATATTTGCCAGTAAAGCGGTAATCGCTACAGAAAAATAGAACAAATTACTGACAGAAATACAAAACAAGTTACAGACGCGGAAGTGGGACGCGGAAGTGGGAAGGTTTTTGTATTTTGACTGAAACAAATGGGGAAATACCCAGAACCAGTAGGAAATACCCTCAGAAAAAATACCGTCTGAAAAAATACCCTACCCTCTTGCATTATCAATAATGCTTTATAAGCATTTGCTTACATCAGCGAATGGTTTTGAAATATATTGAATCCCTCTTCCTAAAGGCAGAAACTTTGCTATAAAGCGGCTAGCGATAGTATATTTGCTCAGAAACAACTATAGATTGTCGCAATGCCAATGACACAATCCAATAAGGCGCAAGCAGTTGCCATTGCCATCATTGCAGTGGTTTCAATTTTATTGGTTAGTGCTGTGGCTTATTTATTCTTCCAAGTCAACAATTTGCAAGAGGAGAACAAGAGTCTTCGACATAAATGGCAGACTCTGCATGTTCTACATGAATGTATCGAGGTAAATATCTGCTCCGTATTATCTGAGACAAAGGTCAAATCTTGGCATTGTATTGTATTGTATGCAATTAAGCCGATCGATGATTAATCAACGAATATTGTTTATCTCATAGAGAAAGACTGCCAAACAGAATGAAAAAATACGTTGTGGTAAGTAAGCTATTTAATAGTATTTCTAGAATATTATGATGCAACGACCGCGCCAAGGGCAAACTTGAACATTATCCAACTATGTTAAAACTGTAGATGCGTACTCTGTTGTCTAGTGTTATGTTGTTAAAACTGTAGATGCGTACTTGTCTCCTTTTCCAATTCTTGGAAATATTGTACGTTGCGAAAACAAAAATGTTTCCACCATGCAAGAAATTCATGATCAGTTTCATATTGTGTTTCACCAATGAATGTGATTTTGGTTGTGGAACATTGTTTCGTGGTGTGCTCAACATTAAAAAATGCACACCATTCAAAAACGCGGCTCCAATGAATGTTACGCCACAATGTTTCTTTAATGAGCCGAAAGCTTCACTGTACCACAGCGCTGATACTTACCTTTTTCAGGTGTTAAAGGAGATCGAGGCAAGAAAGGCGACTCTGGGTATGACGGTATTGGTATACCTGGAAAAGATGGAATGAAGGGAGAGAAAGGTTAGACTAAATAACAATTAAAATTATACAAGATGGGTGTAGTAAGGACGTCGATGATACATGCAGTGGACAGTTCCGCCACAATGTCTATCAGTGCCTCTAACATTATATTAACACTGAAGTGCAAATATGACTGCAGTAGGAGTGTCAATCATCAAGTGTCAACACGAGCGAAAGACTTCGACTAAGAAACAAAGGTCTCGTGAGGTATTAACGCGGCACTGGACACGGGTTAGGTTGAGAAAAATCTTGAATCGAATGTGGGAGTTGAAAACGAACCTTCAATTGCTGAGCTACGATTCAACTGTTTGAGTCCCGCAGCCTAGATGCAGTAGGAGACTAACACTACTTAAGTGAAATCTGCAGTAAAATTGTATGCCTTGATCTCAATGTATACGCACTGAGGAATAAGAACGTTATAATCCAGCCCAAGTAAAATAATTAATTAGTATAGTTTATCTGTATGTACATGTCACAAAATATTGATACTTAGTATGCTACAGCCATATACGTGACATATATTCATACATATATTCATTGCAGGAAGGGCTGGTTCTCCTGGAGTAAAAGGTGGGATAGTTCTTATTTAGTTTCCATTTTAAAATACATAATTTATTTCCAGTTCCAAGTAATATTAAATTATTATTATAAAATTTGATGGACTTTGGTAACGTTTTCAGCATCGTAAATCCTCTTTAGAAATATCATTCATCTTCCTAATGCATTGCAGTGAAATGCACCATTTGATAATATTTTTACATTATATAGGTGATCCAGGAATTTGCAATAGCTCTTGTGGACAAAATTTGTCAGTGGAAAACAAGACAGTACGTATGGTTGTTGTTGTTGTTGTTGTTGTTGTTGTTGTTGCGCTGTTTCGTATGCAGCTTGATAGTAAGATTTTATTTTGCAAGTGTACTCTGTTAATACTCAGAAAAATATACGAGCTCACAAGCTCCGTCAATACACACCTACACACCCTTCCAGAATGTACATATTTTAGTTGCCCAGCCTTACTTTTGTGGAAAAAGTTTGCGTTTGGCGCCTTTTATACCTTGGTGCATATGAAGTTATTTTACATTATATGCCAGTAGCGTGAGTTAAGTTCTGATATACTGGGTATAGTAAAGCAACAAACATGTAAAGGCTCCTTTTCACTCATCGGGAAAAACAACTCGCAAGCTCGCTGTGAGTGCTTGTATTTAATGAAAATAAACTATCGAGCATAGTGATTGATGAAAGCACACGCAGTGAGCTTAAAAGTTGACTTATGCAGCGATAAATGATGGAAGAGAGACTTAACACAAACATATATCGCAGGCATAGTTCATTAATTATATCAAAATTGCATGACGTGAATTAAATAAATAGACCTAATATGGCGTACTATTTAATATTAGCGAAATAATTCTAAAAATAAACGTTGTCTAAGTTTAAACAAAGCATGGGCAACCGATCTTTATCTGATATACAAACTCTCGCCTTCGGCTAGCCTTCGGCTCGAGTTTGTATATCAGATAAAGATTGGCTGCTCATGTTTTATCTAGTACTCGGTAGATGCGTGTTTGTGATGCGTGAGTTTCAAAAGATTAAGGTGGCTCACGACACTTTTTTAAAAATTAAAAATTTTCTGATTTGAATATGAATTTCTGGAGTATTATTATTTGTTTAAAAACAAAGAGTATCTCACTGGTATAACACAATAACTAAGGAGTTGGGAATTTTTCAAGAATTACTCCTAACCGTAGTTGCTATGGCAACAATAACGTCACAACATGGCGGATATTTTATGTTTAAAGTAATTTAACTCGAAAAAAAGGTCCGTGACCCCCGGTTTTTATTTCATAAAATTATTTCTATTGGTATTTTGAATTATTTTACTGATTTAAAAAACATTCTGTCATGCCGAAATATTTCAAAATAGGAAAATGTGAAAATTCGTAATAATTTTTTTGTCATGATTGAAAATTTGTTAAATCATGAAAATATTTCAAAATACTAAAAGAAATCATTTTATGAAATAAAAAATTGGGGTCACAGACCTTTTTTTCGAGTTAAATTATTTTAAACATAAAATATGCGCCTTGTTGTGACGTAATTGTTGCCATAGCAACGGCAGTTAGGAGTAGTTTTTGAAAAATTCCGAACTCCTTAGTTATTGTGTTATACCAGTCAGATACTCTTTGTTTTTAAACAAATAATAATATTCCGGAAATTCATATCCAAATCAGAAAATCTTTAATTTTTAAAAAAGTGTAGCGAGCCACTAATTTAAACTGTTATTCAACATGTCCTAACTTGACTATCGTATTCTCATGCAGGACTCTCCGTTAATACATATGGTAGGAGATGGAAAACAAAATAAGAGAATAGACAACTTGGAAGGTAAGATTTTGTGCTTACTATATCTAGAAGTATATTATAGCTATACGTTCTATAGCGTAACTTTATTAAGTCGACTGAGTTCACGGCACATGTGCGAGATGAGCATAAAAATGAATACAAAAAAAACTTCCCCTGACCAGGATAAACAGTTTTCCATGCAAGAAGAAACTGGTTCCAGATCTGGAAAAAAGTTTCGGGATCCTGAGGAAACATTTGCCTTGACAAGAGGATTTAAGGAACATTTCCGCCATATATGTTTAATACGTTATGTAACATGAATACAGTCAAGTATACATCGTTCTTGAATACCGTACATAATATGGCCAATATGCTGTCAGATTTTCCATTTTTTTACGCACTTTTGAGGAACATTTGAAAAAGGCCAAGGGTGCGAGTTTTAAAAATCAATTCAGCCTGACAACTCACGTAGCGAAAATAAAGCGACGCCAAACTTCGTTTGGGCATCGGCTGTTCATATGGGGCCGCGGGCTGGCCCAGTCAACCGGGATGATTCGTTTAATAAAGTTCTTTCACGGCTTTGATAAACATCCAAAATGACATTTCAAAGCTGAACTAGTTTGATTCCAGTAACAGTATAAAGATTAAAGTTCATTCAAACGATCTTTTATGGCCAGGAAAAAAGTTTCCTGACACACCGGATTCATCCCGGCTAGCAGGAATGGCACGGCTCATATATGAACAGAGCCTAAGTCTGAGAAAAATCTAAATATATTTTATTTCTAGAATCAGCCGTGTCTTTCTGGAATGTGACATGCAAGGCAGGTGATATATCGTACAGCAAAGCGGAAGGAAAGCTGTCAATCAATGTCAAAGGATTTTACTACATATATAGTCAAATGGCTTATTGTGGGAAAAAAGAACGAAACGTCGGACACACCATGTCAATTAACGGCAAAAACGTCCTGAAATCAACAGTAACTGCCAAAGTTTTAGGAACTCACAGAGTAGGAGGCATTTTCAAACTCAGAAAAGGCGACAAAATAGCGATCAGTCCTGTTGTAACAAATCTGGAATACTGTTTCTCTAGACAAGAGGCTTACTTTGGCGCTGTTCTTGTTCGCAAGTAAGATTATTCTTCCGTTTCTGCGGGTGAAAGGTAAAATTTTACCAGGTACCTGAACTAATATACATGCACAGTAGTTTTCAATGTTTGCGAACAGTTAGTCGTAGTGAATCATTGTAAATAGCACCTTACTTGTAAATAATTGTACCGATCATGCATTAAGGTTACAGGACACCCTCTTTGGCGTTTTGTGGAAAATCGCTACTGCGCGCTCAAAATCAGTCCGATTTTCATCAAATTTTCACCAAATGTTAGCCAGTGCATGCAAAATATGATAAAGTTGTAAAATTGACAAACAATAAAATAATGTAAGAATTAGTTCGGAAAATATTAAGTCGCGGTACCTTTACGCTTTTGAGTTATGTTCCTGCTGGTTTTAAGATATATTTATGAAAATATCAGTTTTATACAGTAAAATAGTTGTTCTAAAAAATTGTGTTCGGAAATTTTTGTTTATTTCGTCATTCCGCTGATATGGCGATTTCTTTGACGACTGCAATATATTTCTGAATCGTTTGTGTGAATTGCTTTTATTATTAAAATATCCAAAATTAGAACAAAGCCGAACACAATTTTGAAACTGACGTATTTAGCTATGTCCTGTGAAAATTTGAGAAAAATCCGTTAAAACCCGCAGAGCCACAACTGTTTAAAAATCAGTAATTGCCGCAAAATTCTTCGCGAGAAAATTGAATTTGAATATTACATTTTCAATGTTTTTCTTATTGCACGCGAAATGTATTTTATTAAATAACTCTGCGAGTTTTCAACATTTTTCGTCCAAACTTTGTCAGATAGTAGAACTTGTCTAATGCTTTCATGGAAACCAATAATAAAAAAATTTTAGGCAAAATTAACATTCAAAGATGTTCTGTAACCTTAATAAAAGGAACAAAAAATGGTGAAGTATTTTGTGGGATACGTGATAAAGGCGAGAGATTGAAAATGAGTAGGAAAGTAGTAAGAAATTGCGGTTGCCCCTTGTCACATATTTTTCAGTTTGAGGCCGCCCCCAATTCAGACAAAAATAGTTGAAGCCGCCCCCCTCTTCTCTCCCTCCGCCCCTCCCATTATTAATGACCGGTCCCTAAAGTAGATATGCATTTTGAACGAGCTTTACAGCTTTAATATGCTCCTGGACGTAACGTGTCTAAATAAATTATTCATTCATGTATAGTTAAAAAACTCGTTAATAATTTATGAAGAAAATTCAAAAGAAATGAATGTTTAATTAATCAATGTTTGTAAATCGCATAAAGATTTGTCCTGATTTACATAAACTTCAGCTTTGATTTTCTCGGCTTAGACAATGTTTATTTTTAAAATTACTTCGCCAATGTCAATGAACTCATAAGATAAGTCATTTTATAAGCACGATAAAACATTCGCATCCGATCTTTATCTGATATACAAACTCTCGCCTTCGGCTCGAGTTTTTATATCAGATAAAGATCGGCTGCTCATGTTTTATTGCTACGAGCGCCGGCGAGCAGCCCCCTATTCTTGACATATATCTCGATTTGTGCGATTTTTGTTTGTCAGGATGATTTTGAGCACGCGTATGTATGTGCAGCGACTTCATCATTAGCATAGAGTCATTAGTCATAAAAAGGCAAGAACTGGGCAAGTTTTTTTATTGAAATCATGTCAAATTTAAATTTATTTGTTGCTGGAACATTCATCAAGGTAGCTAACGGTTTTATAGTGACTTTTCACGCGGAAGACAATGTAATTTCTTTTATGAGTTTTTCAGCGTTATTATTTGCTCAGACTTTGCCGATCCAACAGTGGACCGCATCTAACGTAGATCAGATTCTTGCTGAGGGAGATCGACTTTTACATCTCGATGCTTTTGAAAGTAGATCCATCCCTGCCACAGAGACGTTGTCCCAAGCCCGTAGCTGGCTCTCAATTTCTGGGGGGCACTGCAGAAAGAATGTAACAGAGGGTTTGAGATGAGAAAATTTTTTTTCCCTAATTTATTTTGGCGACCTCTCC